TGACGATGATGGTGATGATGATGAGCGGGACGATAAATATGAAGAGGATAATGATGTTGATGGGGGTGGCGGTGATGGTGGTGCTGATGATCATGCTGATGATGGTGATACTATTTATGACGACGACGGCGATGACGATGATGAAGTTGCTGATGACGATGGGAATGATGATGACGATCGCGATGGTGATGATGCTGTTCGTGATCATGATGGTAATGATGATAGGATGCTGATGGTCAGGTTGATAATGACAATGATGATGGGATGCTGATGGTCATGATGATCATTATGATGAGGATGCTGACGAGAATGCGGATGAGGATAATGGCGAGACAGATGATGGTGACGACGGTGATGGAGACGATGGTGGCGATGATGATGGTGACGTTGATGCTAGTGACGATTATGATGAGTATGATGTTGACGAATATGGTGATGGTGATGATGTTGATGCTAGTGCTGACGATAATGACGGTAACGAGCATGATGACGACGATTGCGATCTTGGTGATCATTATCATCGTGATGACGATGTTGATGATGATGACCAAGCCACTGATTAAGGTAGCAGGTGATGAAGACGATGCCGGTGATGACTATAACGGTGGAGATGATGCGGATGATAGTGATTATGGTGATGATAACGATGTTGAGGCTGATGGTCATGACAACGATGACGACGACGACTGTGATGTTTTGCTGGTGATGAGGATGGTGCTAATGGTGCTTAAAATGCCTGTTCTGGTGATGGTGAGGGCAATTGCGTTGATGCTGACGACGGCGATGCTGATAATGCTAATGATCAGTTTGATTACGATTATGGTGGTGAAGTCGATTCCGATGCTGATGCCGCTGATGATGACGGCGACGCTGACGATGCCGATCGCGATGGCGATGACGAACACGATGACGATTGCAACCTCAGGATGATGACAATGATGATGATCATGGAATGATGATGGTGACAATGCTGACTAACTGATGGCGATGCTGAAAATGATCATGCTTAAGATATTGACCATGATGCTGATACTGATTGGGGTACTCTCCATGATGATGACGATGGTGTAGATGATAATGCGGGTGATGACGACGACGATGACGATGATTACCATGATGATAGCCGTTGGCGATGGTGATGACGATGCGAGTGGTGCTGATCATTAGAATAAGAATCACGATGACGATGGGGACACGGATGATGCTTATTGATGATGGTTCAGGCGATGATGATGATCGTGATTATGCGGATGATGATGATCTACATGATGATGGCGATGGTGATGATGATGGTCGGGATGGTAACGATGATGATGGTAATGCTGATGCTGACAACGACAATGGCGGTAGCGGCGACGATGACAATGATGCTGTGAATGATGATGTTGGTAAGGATGGCGATGATGACGGGGTTGTTGGCGGTGATGGCAATGATGGTGATAATGTTGATGCTGATGCTGACGACGACGATGATGATTCTGATGACCACGGCGATGATGACGCAGATAATGACGATCTGCTGGAGAGGATGATGATGACGGTGGTGAAGATCTTGGTGATGACGATGACTAAGGCGCTCAGGGTCAGAATGGCGACGAGGATGACGATGGTGATATTTTTGCCGATGATCAAGATGGTGATGACAATGGTGGCGATGCTGATGATGATCGTCATGATCAAGAGCACGATCAGATGATCATGGGGCATATGAGGATAATGATGATGCCAATGGTGGTGATGAGGGCGATGACGATACTGATGATGATGACGATGATGATGATGGTGATAGGGGTAACACTGACGAATGCGACGATGATGGTGACGATGATGAAGATGATTATGAGTATGATGACGCAGGTGATGACGATGATGATAATGCTGATGATCATGGTGATGGTGGGTGTGGTGTTGGTGATGGCGATGACGGGACTGGGGATGATGATGATCATGGCGTTGGTGATCATGGCGGTGGTGATGGTCATGTTGACGACAATGTTGGCGATGACGGCAACGATAAGTACCGTACGATAAAATTCATGGTGGTGTTAGTTACATGCATCACGCGCATGGGCAACATGGTGATGATAATGAGAGTTATGCTGATCATGGTCATGAGGATGATGGTGGTAATGAAGAGTTCAATGGTGATGGGATGACGGTGACGATGGTGATGATGGTGATGATGATGATGCTGTTGACGATGACGATGATGACGATTATGATGATGGTGATGATCATGGGGAAGGGTAAGGTAATGGGGATGATGATCAGAATCATCATGATGCTTACGATGGTTATCATGAATATGGTCTTAATGTTGAGGCTGATGATGATGATGATGATGATGATGATGTCGACGACGGCGATCATGATGAGAATCATGATGATGTTGATGAGGATGATGACGACAATGATCATGATCACGAGGACACTGGTAAAGGCGATGGTGCGGATTCCGATGATGGCGATGGCGATGATGACGATGATGTTGATCATGACGATGATGTCGATTACGATGGTCGTGGTGACGACGGCGATTGCGATGTGGAATATGATGGGGTCAGTTATGATGAAGAAGGTCATGGTCATGATCATGGCAACAATGATGATCATGATGATGGCGATGATGGTGAGTATGCTGATGATGCTTATGATTGCGATGGCGACGATGCCGACGATAAGTACGATGCTTATGCTGGCGACGATGTCGAAGCTGATGCAGATACTGGGAACGACGGTGATGATGATAAGCATATTCGTGATCATGATGATGATGATGATTGGGATGTTCTTGGTGATGATAATACTGTTTTACATGATGGGACTGCTGGTGTTGATGCAAGCGGCGATGGCGATGACAGGTATGATGATCAAGCTGATAAGGATATGGATGATGATGAGAGTGATGCTGACGCCGCTGATGCTTACGACGACGACGATGACGATGACCATGACGATTACCTTGGTGATGCTGGGGATATTGCGCCTGGTGGTATGACGATGCGGATGATGGTGGTTCTGATGACGAGGACGACCATGGTGATGATGACGGTGCTAATCATGATGACGTCGGTGATCATGTTGATAATGTTGATTCTGATGGTGAGAGCGGTGATGACATCGTTGACGATGATAGCGTTGGTGATTAGGACGATCGTTTCGATGACGATGAGCAAGATTATTGTGATGTTCATTATGATGATGGCCACTAGCCAATGATACTGCTGGAAGCGATTCTGGTGATGATGAGGGTGAGGATGAGGATTCGCATGCCCAAGGCTGAGGATGGTGATGGCGAGGACGACGTTAAACCAGGACCTTGGTGATGATGATGTTCAGGATAGTTGTAATGAAGATGATGGTGACGATCACGATGCTGATGCTGACGATGATGACGATTCTGATGATGAGGGTGCGGGTGATGATGAGAATGGCGATGCTGATGGTGACGATCACGATGATCATGCTGATGGCGACGATCACGATGATGATGACGACGATGTCGTTGGCGATGATGGCGATGATGCTGGTGATGACAATGATGACGATGGCACTGACGATGACGGCGAAGATGATGATGATGCCGATCACGATGATGGCGATGCTGCTGGTGATCATGCTGATGTTGCTGGCAATGGTGATGCAACCGACAATGATGCTGATGATGATGATGTCGACCACGGCGACACCGATGACGCTGATCGCGATGATGATGACACTGGTGGCGATGACAAAGACGATGACGCTGTGGATGACGGAGATGACGATGATGTCGACGATGATAATGGTGATGATCACGATGACGACGATAACGATGACGACGATGAGGATCATGATGCGGATGGAAATGATGGTGAGGATGGCAATGATGATGACCATGATGGTGATGATGATAACACGGACCACGAAGCAGGTGACGATGACGGCGATGATCATGATGTTGATTATGATGACGACGTGGATGATGATCGTGATGCGGATGATGTTGAACGATGACTAGAACAATGGTGGTGGTCATGTTGGTGATGGGCATACTGATGATGACATGGCGATGCTACTGAGGATGATGATCACGATGACGATGGTTATGATGATGATGATGCTGGTGGCGAGGATGTGGATGGGGATTGTGAAGGTGGTGGTGATGATGGCCATAATGGTGATGATGAAGATGATGATGCTGATGCTCATGATGATGAGGGCGATGCAGATGATGCTATTGCTGAGGACAAGGGGGGGCGAGGATGTTGACTGTGATAGTCAGTATAAGGATGACGATGCTGATGCTTCCAATGTTGATTGTGCTGATCATGATGTCGGTGAGCATGGTGATCGTCATGATCAGTATGATGATGCTACTCATGATGATGACGATGATTTTGCCTTAAAAAGGTAATGACGATGACCATGATGATGATTACGATTATGATGATGATGATGATGCAGATCCTGATGATGGCGATAATGATGATGATGAATATGATGAAGATGATCATCATGTTGACGAAGGTAATGATGACGCAAACGATGCTGATGATGGTGATGATAATGAGGATGGTGACGAATAGTACGATGATGACTGAGCTGATGATAGTACTCATGGTGAGGGTGATGAGGATGTGGATGAGGATTGTGATGAGGATGATGATGACCAGGATGATGATGATGTCCATGATAATGTTGCCAATGATGGTGATTCCGATGATGGTGATGATGGTGATTACGTTTATGGTGATACTGATCGTGAAGAGGGTGATGATGACGGTTATGTTGATGGTGATGATTATGATGATGTGATGTTGACGTTGATGACGATGAATATGATTACAATGATAACGATGATGATAATGAAACCGATTATTATGATGGTGTTGGTGCTGATGCTGATTCGGATGTTCAGGACGGTGACGATTATGATTATGATTGTGACGATGGTGGTGGTTGTGACGACGACAACGACGAAGGAGGGCCCCTCCCAGTGACTGGCGGCGCCCCGCGAGGCCGCCCGGGCCAGCGGCCACGTCGCGCCCATCCCCATGTCCTGGAGGGCCAGCGGTTCTGCGGACCTCGGGCGTTGCGCAATGGGGGGCGACTTCTTCTCCTGTGCTCCTCCTCGCTCCTCCTCCTCCTCCTCCTCCTCCTCCTCCTCCTCCATCCTCCTCCATCCTCCTCCTCCTCGCTCCTCCTCGCTCCTCCTCGATCCTCGCTCCTCCTTATCCTCCTCTCCCTCCCCTCTCCTCCTCCGGGATGAGGCGGCTGTTCTGCCCGCCCGCTAGACAAGCCACGCCCAAAGGAGCCCGCGGGGAGCGCGCGGACGCTGGCGAAGTGCGGGCCCTGGACCTGCATCTGGTGAGCCTCGAGGCGCTGCCTTGGCCACCGGCGAGGGCGCGCGCCAGCGTGGTCGTAGGGCCGGCGGGCCGCGCGCGGCAGAGGCACACCAGCCAGGAGGGGAAAAATCACACAGACACAACCAATCGTCGACCCCCAGGAAAATGTGGGAACATATGGGAAGTGGGAAGGAAGACGAAAGCCCAGAAAATATGGTCGCCTTTCGGTTGACCCTAATCGGGGCAACCGAAAGGCGAATCGTCCGGCGTGCAAGAGGAAGGACAGAAGACGAGGGCGGCCGCGCGAGGTGAGGAGATGGGAAGCGCTCAGACGCAGAAGGGTTCCGATCCCGGGCAGAGGCGCACCAGACAGGCGGAGAAGAAGAGGGCGACCGCAAGTCTATGTCTAATTATGTCACTGGCTGTTCCTCGAGAGTCAGGGGAGACGTCAGGGGGTGACAGGCTCAGGGGGGAACGGATCGAGCCCCAATCGCCCCATTCACCGCCGATGGGGGCCCAATAGCCCACCCCGCCCGGGAACGCGCGGATTCGCTATCCTGTGTCGCCGGTTCCAGGCCGCTGCTTCCTTCTCTGAGCCGGTGCCCCTGTGACTGTCGGGTCATAGTTCGGACCTCCGGCGGCCGTTCCGGACGATCCGGAGGAGGAAAAGGTGCCAGGAGGGGCTGGCGGCGCCTCGGGGAGCGCGCGGGAAGTGTGGGCCCCGGGCCTGTCTCCGGTGAGCGCCACGCCCTCGCCAGCGCTTCGACCAAGCAGCGCGCCCCGACCCGGCGGGCGCTGCCGGCCTGGAGGCCCGGCCGCCGCCGCGCCAGCTGGCGGCGGGCTTACCGACTCGGGGCACGCGGCGCGCGCGCGCCGAGATGCATGGGGCCGCCCTCGTGGACGGTCTGAGATCCTGTCGTCGTCGCCACGGCCGGAGTCGCCCTGAGGTCTTGGGCAGAGTGCGCTCTCGAGGAGCGGCCCTCGGAGCAGCGGCAGCAGCACCGCTCATCGCCTCCCCCACAGATGGCCACCTCGCCGATCCTGGCCTGGCGGCTCCTCCCGAGGAGGCGAGAGTAGGAGGAGGACAAGGACGAGGACGAGGAGGAGGAGGAGGAGGAGGAGGAGGAGGAGGAGGAGGAGGGGAAGGAGGAGTAAGAGGAGGAGGACGAGGAAGAGGACGAGGACGAGGACGAGGACGAGGACGAGGACGAGGACGAGGACGAGGGAGAGGACGAGGACGAGGGCGAGGAGGAGGAGGAGGACGAGGACGAGGAGGAGGAGGAGGAGACGCAGGAGCAGGAGGAGGAGGAGGAGGAGGAGGAGGAGGGGCAGAGGAGGGCAGGAGAGGAGGCAGGAGGAGGAGGAGGACGAGGAGGAGGAGGAGGAGGAGGAGCAGGAGAAGGAGGATGATGATGATGAGGAGGAGGAGGAGGAGGATCAGGAGGAGGAGGAGGGGGAGGAAGAGGAGGAAAGGAGGAGGAGGAGGAAGAGGAGGAGGAGGACGAGGACGAGGAGGAGGACGAAGAGTAGTTCGGGGAGGTACAGGAGAAGGACGATGAGAAGGAAGAGGACGCGAAGGAGGAGAGGAGGACGAGGAGGACGAGGAGGAGGTTGAGGAGGAGAGTAAGAGGATGATGATGATGATGCTGATGATGATGGTGGTGATGATGATGATGATGATGATGATGATGATGATGATGATGATGATGATGATGATGATGCGGATGATGATGGTGATGAAAAAAAAAACAAAAAATTTGATCTCTCGATGCATGTATGATGATATGATGATGATGATGATGATGATAGATGATGCTCGGATGATGATGATGCTGCTGGCTGATGTATGATGATGGGTGCTGCTGATGATGAATATCGCATATGGGTGATATGAAGTGATCGACTGATGATGACGATGATGATGATGGATGATAGTGGTAGATGCTGATGATATGATCAGATGAGGAGAGAGGAGGCATGATGAGCGGAGGAAAGGGAAGGAGGAGCAGGGAGAGGAGGGTGAGGAGGAGGAGGAGGAGAGTAGGAGGGGGAAGAGGAGAGGAGAGAGGACGAGGAGGAGGAGGAGGATGAGGAGCAGGAGAAGGAGGATGATGAATGATGAGGAGGAGGAGGAGGAGGATCTGGAGGAGAGGAGGGGGAGGAAGAAGGAGGCAAAGGAGCTCTCTCAGGAGTCGAGTGACAGAGAAGAGGTGAGGAGGACAGGACGAGGAGGGGAGGACGAAGAGTAGTTCGGGGAGGTACAGGAGAAGGACGAATGAGAAGAGTCAAGAGACGCGAAGGAGGAGAGGAGAAGCGGAGACGGACGCGAGGAGGGTTTGAGAGGACAGAGATAGAATGCGGGAGCCGTCGCGCTGGGGGCAACATGAGTAGATCCGCCCTGTAGCCATATGATGTGATGCATGATGATGTGATGCATGATTGTGATGATGATGATGATGATGAGGATATTGCTGATGCTGCTGCTGATGATGACTGATGCTGCTGCTGATGATGATGAATGATGGTGATGATTGATGATGATGATGATGATGATGATGATGATAGTGGTGATGCTGATGATGATGATCATGATGAGGAGGAAGAGGAGGAGGAGGAGCGGAGGAAAGGAGGAGGAGCAGGAGGAGAGGACGGATCCAGTGCCACTTGCTCGAAGCTCGAAGGAGGAGGGGGAGGAGGAGGAGGAGGAGGAAGAGGAGGAGGAGGATAAGGAGGGGGCAAGAAGGAGGGGGATGATGCTGATGATGTTGATGATGATGATGATGATGATGATGATGATGATGACGCTGATGCTGATGATGATGATGATGGTGGTGCTGTGAGGATGACTGATGAATTGATGGGATGCGGGATGCTGATGATGAATGATGTATGATGATGATGAGTGTGGATTGATGATGATGATGACGATCTCACAATGATGATGATGATGATGAATGAGGATGATGCATGCTGATGATGATGATGATGGCTGATGAATTGAGTGGATGATGATGATGAGTGATGTGAATGATAACATGATCGATGATGATGTGATGTTGATGACTGAGCATGATGATGATGATTATAGAATGGTATGATGAGATGATTGATGATGATTGTGATGATGAAATGATGATGATATGATGATGATGATGATGCTGATGAGGTGATGATGATGATGTGATTGATGATGATGAATGATGATGATGATGGTGAGGAGGAGGAGAGAGGAGGAGGAGGAGGAGGAGGAGGGGGAGGAGAAGGAGGAGGAGGAGGAGGAGGAGGAGGAGGAGGAGGAGGAGGAGCAGGCAGGAGGAGGAGGAGGAGAGGAAGGAGCGCGCACATGAGGAGTCGCGAGGGGGGGAGGAGGAGAGGGAGGAGAGGAGGCCAGGTCGTCGAGTGTGACGATGAGGAGGAGGAGGAGGAGGAGGAGGAGGAGGAGGAGGAGGAGGAAGAGAAGGAGGAGGAGGAGGAGGAGGAAGAGGAGGAAGAGGAGGAGGAGGAGGAGGAGCGCAGCGCCTCAGGAAGGTCTCCCGCCGCGCGCGCGGGCGCGCGACGGACAACCCTCTGGCGCCGCCTACTCACGGCACGGTGCCGTAAGAGCAGGAGGCGATGTAGACGGAGAGCAGCTGGACGAAGTCGCCCTCAAGGCCGCGGACGCAGGCCAATTTGCCGCCGACGAATAAGGCGTCGCCGCCGAAGAAGACGCCGTGCCACCAGCCGAACGCGGAACGGCAGCGAATCACGACATGGTCGATCATCGCGCCGCGTGGCTGCAAGGAGAGCCACCCTGCGGGAACGGCGCTGCTGGGGTACGTCGGGCACGAGGCGCCAGGCCCTTCCCGACGCGCTTGATCGCATCTTGCTGCTGACGGCGCGTGGACTCGTTGGGCGAGAGCCCATCGCACCTCAAACCAAGCTTCCGTATTGTACGGTCTTCTCCCGCAGCACAGTGAGACCCGCAGCGTCTGCAACAGTGAACACTGTTGCCGCTGAACACGTCGTGCCCGAGCACGGCGAAGGCGTCCCCGACCTCCTCGGCCAGGGCAGGTGGCGACAAGGCTGCGGGGGTCGAGGGCTGCGAGCTCCCTTCGGGCGCCAAGGCCGCGCCCAGGGCCACGCCGGCCCTCTGGTCGCTGCAGAGAACCCAGCCCATCGGCGAAGGCGCGGAAGTACTCGGCGTTGAGAGCGCTGGCAACGCTCGAAGGGCGACATACACGATGAGAGCCAGTTCGCAGCGACTCGATGGGGGGGGGGCGTTGCGGCCGTGACTCCGCATTGCGTACATCGGTACTGCCCGAGGTTGGCGCAGTAAGCAAGGACATGGTCCGTGCTGCGTGCCACCACAATGGGCCTGGCCTGCCCGCAAGGTGGCCCAGGGACCTCCACGTCGCATCCCCATTGTTTGCGAACCACCGCCTGCAGTGCCGCCCGCGAATTGAAATGCAGGGCCGTGCGGTGCTGCTTCAGCGCAGCTGTTGCCGCCTCGGCTACCGAAACAGCCAGCGCGCGTGAGGTCGCACCGCAGCGCGCGAAATAGTCTGCCCAGCCGTTGCCTAGCCAGTCACGCAGCTCCTGCGGCCCTGCGCGCACACGCTCCTCCAAGGACCTGTGCGCTGGCGTCCATCGGAATTTGGGAGGGCCCCGCAGCGTGCGCCTGCGGCTGGCCACGAAGATGTCCTGCCACGCTCTAGCGCGCTTAGCGCGGCCCTGCTCGATCGCGGGGCACCAACGCTCTCCTTCCTGGGCGAGCGCCAGCAGGTCGGTGACGAAGCACTGGCGGTCAGGGAAGGCGTCGGGCCCCTCCCTGACCGCGTGCCTCTCAGCACGGCCGACAGTCTGCACCAAGTACGGAAGGGGCCCGAATCGCGCCCTATCTGGGAGCCAAGAATAAAGATCAAGCTGCACAACTGCTTGTCCACACCTCCGCACCTCGGGAACACCTGAGTCGTAGCCAGACCCGTCGGTGTAAGAAACGGGGCCCCAAACGCCACGGGCGTCGCCCCGAAGGCAGACATAATGCCTC